ATCTAAGCTCAGATTCCAAAATCTGCCACTTACTAAGGCTAATCAGTAAAGCGGTAAAAACAATTTATACTTTGTATGTTGTTACATTACAGAGATTATTAGATTAAAAGATTAAAATGGGAGGGGAGAGATCTCATAATTTGTTTTTAGAGAGAGAATACATGGCAGGAATTGAAGAAGTTTCTTTCGTCACATATAAAGTCCAAAGGGAGTACCTACTTGGAGATCTGCTTCAGTGCATTAACTACTCATGATGAAAGACTATAGGTCATTCATTTAGCAAATATTTTGAGGACTTACCATGTGCCAAGCCTGTGCTAGGTGTTGGGGAGACCTCTGCAAATACTATAGACATAAGTGTTCTTAAACGGCTTATAGTCTAGTAAGTGAAGTAAACCAGCAAATGGGATATCAGAGTAGTTTGGGTGCCACAGGAGCACAGGAAAACACCCCAAATCTGGGAGGGAGGTAGCAGGGAAAGATCACTGTGGAAAGTAATCGCCAAGGAAAAACCTGAAGAATAAGTAGGAGTGAGCTGAAGGAGGACAAGTTCTAGACAGACAATAGCACATACAAAGGTCCTGAGGTGAAGCAATGCTGCAAAGTCAAGAAATTACAAGTAGTTTCAATCTGGTGGAACTTTGAGCACAGCCTCAATGAGCAAGTACAAAGGGGGATGAAGCAGAGATAAAAGAGTAGGGGGATAATACAGTTAGCAATGTAAGCAGGAGTCAGATCATGAAGTGGTCTATAAACCATCCATGCTAAAGAGCTTAATCCTGGAGACGAAGGGAGTTACTGAAGAGTGGGAATGACCCGATCAGATTTATTTTTCAGGAAGATCACTCTGACTGCAGTGTGGGAAAAGAGTTTGGGAAATCTTTTACATCATATAAAAGGACTATTTTATTTATTTATTTTTAAAGATTTTATTTATTTATTTTGACAGAGAGAGACACAGCGAGAGAGGGAACACAAGCAGGGGGAGTCGGAGAGGGAGAAGCAGGCTTCCCGTGGCGCAGGGAGCCCGATGCGGGGCTCGATCCCAGGACTCTTGGATCATGACCTGAGCCAAAGGAAGACGCTTAATGACTGAGCCACCCAGGCACCCCTAAAGAAACTATTTTAAAAGAAACCTTCCCCGGAGTGCCTAGGTGGCTCAGTCGTTTGAGCATCTGACTTGCAGTTTCAGCTCAGGGCATGATCTCAGGGTCCTGGGACTGAGCACTGAATCGGGCTCCCTGCTCAGCAAGGATTCTCTCTCTCCCTCTCCTCCTCTCCCCTCGGCTCACATGCTCTCGCTCTCTCTAAAATAAATAAATAAATCTTTTTAAAAAAGAAAAGAAACCTTCCCTCCATCCCCCCAAAACCCAAACCAACTGCTAAAAGAATCTCAACTGTTTCAGAAATAAAACATTTACTTGTAACTTAAAGGAGAACTTCTTAAGAGCTTTTGGCTACAATGATCTGCAAACATAGCAAAATAAAAGATAAGGCTATGTAATGTCAGGTAAGCCTTGTTTGCTAGGAACAAGAGAAGAAAAGAGAGGTCGTTAACCGTTACCATTCCACTCCCTTTACGCCTACTTCCCGCAGGCAGTTTATACCAGCTCAATCTTTGTCTTTCATTTAGGGACCAAATTTGTGCACCAAAATAAGAATTTGTTCATAGGCTTGGGGAAACTGCTAGAAGTGTGCCAGATAACTTTAAAAAACTACATGCTAACAGATGAGAACCAGTTCTGATCACAACATCAAGCAAAATTAATCTAAGCTATTTTGCCAATGGTCATTAAATAATGAGAATTTCTGTAAGTAGTGTCTAAATTAGAAAGTCTGAGACCCTACAATAATACGGTGCAAGCACCAGAACATAATAATTAGAATTAGATACTTTCTCGAATTTGCCTTTTAAAAATAAATTATGCCATTAAGCACTAAATGCAGGGATTAAAATTTCATAAACTTCTAGTTAAATCAAATGTGGTGACAACTACTGGCACATGACCAAATACTAAAAAAATCTCAGCTGTTTTAGAAATAAAACATTTGCTTCCAGCTTGAAGCAGAACTTTTTAGGGTCTATGGTTAAACTGATCTGCAAATATAGCATAAGAATAACAGGTAAGGGAAGTTTTTTATGTGACAAACGAAATGCTAAATCAACCTTTAAAATAAAAAATTGGGGGGATGTTGGGCTGAAACTCACAAAAGGCTTTAAGACAAAGTAAATGACTACACATTCCTAAAAATTAAGATACGTACATTTTCTAGAATAATTAGAAACATGGGAATTTATCATTATCATAAGACAATGCTTACAAGGTCATGTGCCAATTAAAAAAACATTAATACTACAACTACTTTAGAGAACAGAGTCAAATCTGTTCTTTGAAAGGGATCAATTCCTTATTTTTTTCTTCTGCAATTAGAGAAAGTCTCTGCTTTTCATACTTTCTAAAAATAATTACATAAATTTAGTATTTTAAAACATGATTGGGGAGCTTGGGAATCAACAACTTAATCATTTTAAAAATCACTATTTCCAAAACTACTGTAATTTTATATAGAGTTCATTTATTTAGTGACCAGCATAAAGGACTAGCATAGTGAAGAATGACACAATGGGAAATACATTAGACTGGGAATCAAGATACTCATTCACCCATTTATTCCTTTGTTAAACAGCTGAATCCTGCTTTAGTGCCAGGCCTACAGACACTAAAAAAATATTTAAGTCCTCAAAGAAACATAATACTCTATTTCATCAAATTTGGGACACTATCAATCATAAGACTAACTCTTAACTAATAAAGAAAAAATGCTTTCAATTAAATGATGACATAATGCCTTGAATGAATCACATCAGCCTCTCGTTGCTTTGATATTTTTAAAATCTATTCAGAAAAATTTGGCAATTTTTCCTGCCTTCAATACATTGCTTGCCATTTTAAATGGCAATCTTTTTTTTAAATATATACATCTCTCTACAAAACACAGCTTCATCTACTTAGGGGTGCCCTCCTTTCTTGGCTCCCATAAAGCACTTAGTTGTTATTTTTGAAGAAAAGTAAATGGAATTGTGATGATTTCTCTAAAGGCAAATGTTTACTTTCACGAATACCAAATTTACATCTCTCTACTTTGTTTCAGTCTTTTCTGTGCGTTCGATGACTTTTTTGTTTCAATGCCAAATCATAACAAAATCTTTCTTGAAGATATTCTAAATGGCAATTAAATCCACCATATGTCGCAGTGACACCAGGTACAGAACTCTATTGAAACGATGACGCTAAATGTAACTGTGACTAAGTGTGGAGAGGCACAGGCAACGACAACCTACCCAGACGGCCACCGGACAGCCAGCAACTGGAAGATACCATCAAGTGTCAGACACATTCCAAATGCAGAGTGAAAAAAGGTGTCTCAGAATCACAACTCGCGCAGCTCTGTGAGGAGAGGACATTGTACCTACTCGACAGATGTTACACCATGAAAACCTGTACAGAGGCAGATTAAGTGCCTGTAGATGAGGAAAATGAGTCATGGGGAGAGGCAGCGGGCCCACGTAACTTGCCCAGTACCACGAAGCTAGCACGTGGCAAGGCCAGCAGCTGAACTCGTACAGCCTGGGCCGAGAGGCGCTGCTTTGAACCACTGGGCCATGTGGCCTCTCAAGCTAATAATCAATAACCGGCTTTGTGACCTGAGGCAAATCACTAGAGACTCCTTTCCTTATTTTGAAACGGAGGGAACTGGAACAGATGATGATGGAGTTCTTTCCCGGGATGAAAATATTAAAATTCTATAATCTTCTACAGTAAAATTTTATTCCCATGCTGGTTTCTCCTTGCGCTAATACAATGCAAACCTTCACCGCCATTAGTGATGAGTGAAAAGAATCTTTTACTACTGGTCTAAAATAAGACATACTTAGGAAGGTATTTAAGAAACAGACACACATGGGGGCGCCTGGGTGGCTCAGTCGTTAAGCATCTGCCTTCCGCTCAGATCATGGTCCCAGGGTCCTGGGATCGAGCCCCGCGTCGGGCTCCCTGCTCCGCGGGAAGCCTGCTTCTCCCTCTCCCACTCCCCCTGCTTGTGTTCCCTCTCTTGCTGTGTCTCTCTCTGTCAAATAAATAAATAAAATCTTCAAAAAAAAAAAAAAAGAAACAGACACACATGTATTTGTACCACTACTTCTTTTTTTTTTTTTTTTTTTTTAGGGTAATGGCAAAAAGTTGACTTAGAAATAAACGAGCCAGTGCGTGGATTCTACTCTGTGTACTATACTTATGATAGAATTTAGTCATTTCAAAATTTAATCCAAAATTAACATATGACTTCAAGGTGTCAGTTTCAACAGATGCTCACAATGCAGAACTGCTTATTCTTTAAAAATGCTGCTGATTTATGAGGGGGAAAAAACAACAAATTAATAACAGATATAAATATTGCAACATCGTTCCTCTTGAGCCAATTTAAAGGTGGGATTAAGTGTACCACACACTTGACAACTCCTCTGCCCTAAGGAGGGGGGGGGGCACCCTTTGGGTTTCCTTCTAGAGGCCCAGCCAGCTGCGCTCCCACCCAGGTAACCTCCCTTCGGCCCCACAAACTCTGATCATCAGGCAACCCACTGAGGCTTAAAATAATTCCTAATATTTCACTTTGAAGTTGTCCTCAGGAGGAGAGTTAGCAAAGGAAAGAGATCAAAATACAGAGTCTTTAACACTTCCATTATTCATTCCTAAACATCATACATCATATCAGTTTTGGCCTGCTTTTCTCTTTTACATATACACATACACGTATACACAGTAAATTATTTGCCCCAACAAAAATCAGAGAAAACATTAAAAAGATTTCTGGTGGAAAAAGTGAGAAAGAGAACATAAATGAACTACTAGCAAAAGTCGGCTTAGAAAAACAAAGCAAGCGAGAAAGATGCCCCAAAACAGAAGGCTCTCATCAGTACTTGGAATATTCCTATTACATACCTTCCCATGCTGCCCAGCTCTCTCGTAACAAATGACAACATCTTCCCACATTTCTAGCTTCTCAAATATCTGAAGGGCTGAACTCGTGCATCCCAGCTCAAAGAGAAAACGTGCAAGTTGGCGCTAAAAGAGTCAAGTTAAAAGAGTCAAGTTAAAATAATGAACATTTCTTTATGTAAAGAGATTCCTGTTTCACTTGTGGGTGCGCTAACCTGCCATTTTAAGGGTCTGCTTACTGTAATAAATACATCATTTCTACAGTTTGACCTCAACTAATTAGAAATTTGCAATGATTCAATACTTACCTTTACTTTAGCAAGTTTCTTTATAGATGGCAAGGAATTAAAAAACTATAATATAGGAACTTTTCAAAACACTCAATATATCAATTTTTTCCTAAGAACCCAGAAGAACTTAAAAGCAAAATCAGCATTTCTTTCTTACCTAGAGATTCTGTGACCATCTCTGATTTGTAAAGCTGAGAGCCAATAAATCAACTTGGAAAACTCTAGTTAGAATGCCTGGTATCAAAAAGAAAAGTGTTGGCGGGGATGTGGAGAAAAGGGAACCCTTGTGCACCGTCAGCGCCAACGTCAACTGGTGCAGCCACCACGGGAAACAGTCTGAAGGCTCCTCAAAAAATTAAAAATAGAACTACTAAGCGATCCAGCTTTCCCACTTCTGGGCATTTATTCAAAGAAATGAAAATATTCACTTGAAAAAATATCTCTACCCCCGTGTTCATTATAGCATTATTTACAATAACTGAGACACGGAAGCAGCCTAAGTGTCCATCAAGGGATGAATGGATAAAGAAATCGTTGTGTGCGTGTACACCCAACACACACACACACACACACACTGGAGTCTTATGCAGCCATAAAAAAGAATGAAAGCTTAGCATGTGTGACAACACAGATGAGGTCGACCTGGTGGGCATTATGCTAAGTGAAATAAATCAGACAGAGAAAAACAAATACAGTACAATCTGACTCACATGAGAAATCTGAAAAAGTCAGATTCATAGAAACAGAACAGACTGGTGGCTGCCAGAGATTGAGGGGTGGTGGTGAGAGAAATGGATGAAGGTGGTCAAAAAATACAAACTTCCAGTTCTAAGTAAGTTCTGAGGATATAACGCACAGCATGCTGGCTACAGTTAATAATACTGTATTATATATTTGAAAGATGCTAAGAAAATAGATCTTAAATTTCTCATCACAAGAAAAAAATCTGTAATTATGTGAGGAGATAGATATTAACTAAACTCACTGTGGTGACCATTTTATAATATATAGCTATATTAAATCATTATGTTATACACATAAAACGAATACAATGTTATGTGTCAGTTATACCTCAAACTGGGAAAAAATGAAATTGAACTCAAATAAACAAATAATAAAAATTCTAAGCAGTTGACATAAATGACAGAAATCTATACATTAGCACTTGTGTACTTTATTCATGAAAGCATCTCTGGGTCTTTCTAACTCAGATCTACTTACTTAGATTTATTTAGGTTCTAAAAGACTTAACTATTTTATTTCCCAGCCTTGGCAGATAAAAAAGGAGGCAAATTGTGGTAAGGTTATTCAAAGTTAAACATATCAAAAAGTAAATATATTGTGGTTTATAAGTGGTCCATCCTGCAGGAATAGAAAAAATACTAGAAAGTTTTAAAAAGTGAGGTTCAGGGCGCTTGGCTGGTTCAGTCAGTAGAGCATGTGACTCTTGATCTCAGGGCCATGAGTTCAAGCCCCACAATGGGTGAAGAATTTACTTTAAAAAAAAAAAGTAGGTGAAGTTCTTATATAATGCATGGTTTCATATTAGTGGAGAACTGTGTTGTTTTAAATATAGTTTTACTGCTCTTTCAAAATTCAATACATATTTAAGAGTTAAGAAGTCAATGGATATGAAAAATCTACATTGACAGAATTAGAAAGTAAAATGAGATATACCTGAAAGTTATAAGCTAATATATTTAAAAAAAATAAATACAAGGAATGATCTAATTCTTCTGTATGCCATAAATCTGGGGGAATTTGGCTATTTTAGGATATTTGGACATTTTAAAAAACTGAACATAGCATATGGGAGCTGAAATAAATCTTAGTGCTCACACGGTAAACAGTTTATTTTTATTTATTTTTTTTTAAGATTTTTTTATTTATTTGACAGAGACAGAGATAGCGAGAGCAGGAACACAAGCAGGGGGAGCAGGAGAGGGAGAAGCAGGATTCCCGCTGAGCAGGGAGCCCAACGTGGGGCTCAATCCCAGGACCCTGGGATCATGACCCGAGCCGAAGGCAGAAGCTTAACGACTGAGCCACCCAGGCGCCCCACACGGTAAGCAGCTTAATCTTTCCATTTAATAGATATGGCATCTAAGATGGTAGGGCTAGCTAGAAGCGAAAGACTGATTCTCTTTTTACAATAAACTACGCTACTACCTTTTGATCTTTAAAAATAATACATAAAGATATGGTCATTCCCTATAATGAAAGAAAAAAATGATTTAAATTGTTAAAGAGAATGTTTATCTAACCGCCTAAAGATCCTAAAATCCACAGCTTCCTAAACAGATAAAATAAACATTTTGCCTAAATTCTATTTGAATAGTATTTAATTTTCCTAATGCTTCTGTTCAGAAATAGACTGAAAGCTACACCCTCAACATACATGTTTTGTCATAATAATAGCTCAGAATCTGAGACGTTTATCCACCACAAACCACACAGGACAAGGCACTTAATTTCATAGATCAGGGTCAAAAACATATCAAAAAGTTCCAGCTATTAACACCTTCTTGATAAAGAAGGTACTTCTTTTGAGATAATATAATAAAGCTTTTTATTTGCCTGTTATATTGAGACTCCTTCAATAAAGTGAATTCCAATGTGTAATAAATCCCCTACTTTACTCTGTGCTTAAGAATATGACATACTCGAAGAGGGCGCCTGGGTGGCTCAGTCGTTAGGCGGCTGCCTTCGGCTCAGGTCATGATCCCGGAGTCCTGGGATCGAGTCCCACATCGGGCTCCCTGCTCAGCAGGAAGCCTGCTTCTCCCTCTCCCACTCCCCCTGCTTGTGTTCCTGCTCTCACTGTCTCTGTCAAATAAATAAATAAAATCTTTATAAAAAAAAAGAATATGACATACTCGAAGAAATCTAACCATGGGGATTCAGAGTCATTGAATGGTGGGCTGGCATTTATAATTCTAAATCACTACCTATGTGCATAATCCAAAGAGAAAGGACAGGAAGCTGGCTGAAATGACAATAGTTATGAAATCATCTAGAAATTTCTGCCTGTCACCATTTCACTCTACTTAACTTCTCAGTGCCACAGCTTCCTCATCTATAAAATGGGGATATTTCACAATTGTTGCAATAAAATAATGTGTGCAAAATGCAGAACAAAATGCATGCGTCATAATAAGTATGCAGTAAAAGCTGGTTGTTATTAGCTGGCATAATTACAACCCAATGAAGAGATAAGGAAAGGAGGGAAACTAGACTAAAAATTGGGAAACCAGAGACCTACTTCATGACAGCTGTGTGATCAACATCGGTAAAGTGTAGTTAATTGCCCTGGGCTCAGTTTTCTTCTCTGTAATATTAAGAAACTGGACCAGGTGTCTAAGTTGCCTTCAGTGCTAAAAATTTTACAAAATAGGGGAACCACACCCATAACACAGGGGCTTGAATCTCTATCCCAAAATGGAGCTTTAGGAGGTACACCAGGTATTCTTATATCTCAGAAAAAGAAAAGCAGTGAAGGGTATCTCACCATATAGAGCAAGAAACAACTGCTTTAAGTTGTTCTTGTAAACAACTTGGTTAAAAGGCTCATTCTCGAGTTGAAGGTCCTAATGGGCTTTTAAATATAAAGTTACTTTGAAAATGAAAGCTTCTGTGGTTCTCCCATTACTTAATTTCAAGGATTCTATTTAATCTTGTTTTAAATTCTTTTAAAAATGTTTTATTTTTTATTTTTTATTTTTTTAAGATTTTATTTATTTATTTGACAGAGAATGAGAGAGAGAGGCACATGAGAGTGGGGAGGGTCAGAGGGAGAAGCAGGGAGCCCGATGCGGGATTCGATCCAGGGACTCCAGGATCATGACCTGAGCCGAAGGCAGTCGCTTAACCAACTGAGCCACCCAGGCGCCCTTAAAAATGTTTTAAAAGTTTAGTATCACTTTAACCAAAAGAGCATTTTTAAGTAATTGGCAATTCCCAGCTAGATACTTTTATTCTTTCCATTGAAATATTTGAAAACTTCAACATAAACTGAAAAATCATCCTTTTCTAGTGTATTTATCTTTCAAAAGCAAAGTATTTTCCATACCCAATGACAAAGAGCAACAAAAATACCTGAATGGCCCAGTGAGGGGGTACTTGACAGCAATAGAAAATCTTCAGACGTTCCAATACAGATGTAGTCTTATCTTCAAATTGGTCTGCAAGAGCCTTAAGAGGACATATCATAATCAGAATCTATATGTGTAATAACTTTAAAAAAAAAGATTTTATTTATTTATTTGACAGAGAGAGAGAGCACAAGCAGGGGGAGCGGCAGGCAGAGGGAGAAGCAGGCTTCCCGCCGAGCAGGGAGCCCAACGTGGGGCTTGATTCCAGGACCCTGGGATCAAGATCTGAGCCGAAGGCAGATGCTTAACCAACTGAGCCACCCAGGCGCCCCTGTAATAACTTTTTAATATAAATAAGATTCTTACTGTAAAAGTTATACAAATGGACATATAAACAATAAAGAACACAAGTCACTTTTTCTTTTAAAGATTTTTTATTTATTCATTTGAGAGAGAGAGAGAGAGCGCACAAGCAGGGGAAGGGTCAGAGGGAAAGGGAGAAACAGACTCCCCACTGAGCAGGGCACCCGATGCATGGCTCGATCCCAGGACCCCGGGATCATGACCTGAGCTGAAGGCAGATGCTTAACCAACTGAGCTACCCAGGTGCCCCCACAAGTCACTTTGATGAGGTGATGAAATGTGTGAATTTTTTCTTGAATTTCTTCAAACGTTGAAAAAACTTTCAAATTTTTGGGGTGTTGAGTTTGAGAAGTTCTTTATAGATCTTGGATACCAGCCCTTTATCTGCAGTGTCATTTGCAAATATCTTCTCCCATTCTGTGGGTTGCCCCTTTGTTTTGTTGACTGTTTCCCTTGCTGTGCAGAAGCTTTTTATCTTGATTAAGTCCCAAAAGTTCATTTTTGCTTTTGTTTCACTAGCTTTTGGAGATTTATCTTGAAAGAAGTTGCTGTGGCCGATGTCAGAGGTTACTGCCTATTTTCTCCTCTAGGATTTTGATGGATTCCTGTCTCACATTGAGGTCTTTCATCCATTTTGAGTTTATCTTTGTGTATGGTGTTAGAGAATGGTTGAGTTTCATTCTTCTGCATGTGGCTGTCCAATTTCCCCAGCACCATTTATTGAAGAGGCTTTTTTCCATTGCATGTTTTTTCCTGCTTTGTCGAAGATTATTTGACCATAGAGTTGAGGGTCCATATCTGGGTTCTCTATTCTATTCCATTGGTCTATATGTCTGTTTTGTGCCAGTACCATGCTGTCTTGGTGATCACAGCTTTGTAATATAGCTTGAAATCGGGCAACGTGATGCCCGCAGCTTTGTTTTTCTTTTTCAACATTTCCTTGGCAATTCGGGGTCTTTTGTGATTCCATAAAGAACTTCTCAAACTCAACACCCAAAAAACAAATAATCAAGTCAAAAAATGGGCAGAAGACACTTCTCTGAAGAAGACATACAAATGGCTAACAGACACATGAAAAAATGTTCATCATCATTAGCCATCAGGGAAATTCAAATCAAAACCACATTGAGATACCACCTTACACCAGTCAGAATGGCAAAAATGGATAGGGAAAGAAACAACAAATGTTGGAGAGGTTGTGGAGAAAGGGGAACCCTCTTACACTGTTGGTGGAATGCAAGTTGGTACAGCCACTTTGGAAAACAGGGTGGAGGTGCCTCAAAAATTTAAAAATAGAGCTACCCTATGACCCAGCAATTGCACTCCTGGGTATTTACCCCAAAGACACAGATGGAGTGAAAAGAAGGGCCATATGCACCCCAATGTTCATAACGGCAATGTCCACAATAGCCAAAATGTGGAAAGAGCTGAGATGCCCTTCAACAGATGAATGGATAAAGAAGATGTGGTCCATATATACAACGGAATATTACTCAGCCATCAGAAAGGATGAATACCCAACTTTTACATCAGCATGGATGGGACTGGAGGAGATTACGCTAAGTGAAATAAGTCAAGCAGAGAAAGTCAATTATCATATGGTTTCACTTATTCGTGGAACATAAGGAATAGCATGGAGGACATTAGGAGAAGGAAGGGAAAAATGAAGGGGGGGAATCGGAGGGAGAGATGAACCATGAGAGACTACGGACTCTGAGAAACAATCTGAGGGTTTTAGAGAGGAGGGGGGTAGGGGGATGGGTTAGCCTGGTGATGGTTGTATTAAGGAGGGCACGTACTGCTTGGAGCACTGGGTGTTATACGCAAACAATGAATCGTGGATCACTACATCAAAAACTAATGATGTATTGTATGGTGACATAACATAATAAAATTTTTTTAAAAACCAACTTTAAATTTAATCAACATTAACATAAACATGTACATTAAAAACGTATCCAGAAAATAGTTTTTAAAACTAAGATTTCCTATAATGATTCATTTAAAGAACTAGCCTTAATTAACCAGGCTTTTTATTTTTTCTAAGAAAAACTGTTCTTTAGCCTACCTATTTCACAACCATAATTCACTTTGACAATGGCACTTGCGAATATAAATCAGAGAAAAATTATATGAAGAACTTCATTTAGGACTATTTTCTCGGGAATAAAGTGAAAGCAAAAGGTGGGTCTGTTTGGTCACAGAGAGCAATTTTTCTTCCTCTTCAGCAACATTCATTCATGCAAGACCATCCCTGAGATACAGCAGACAGCTACCAGCCGCATGCATGGAAGGAGCCCTCCGCTGTACCGAAACACCGACACTGAATAACTGAACTCCTGAAGCTACACCAAGAAGCAGACTGAGCAAAGGTACCAAGGCCAACTGCAAAGTCAAAGGCTGCCACTATCCAGCAGTCAAATGATCAGTCATCGGAAGAGCTCATCTATTCAGCCTCAAAGTGAATGCGGCCACACTCTGGAGTTCCTAAGCAAATGCATGTACAACGGCCCCATTACCATGATCATCCTTCACCTGCCTCTTACTATGTCATTCAGTTTATCATAAGTATATATGTTTAGTCTGACATATACTTAGACCTTCTCTCAACTATGAATTACCATGACCTTTTCTGCATAATGCAGTACTCAAATTTTCTTTCTTTTCTTTCTTTTTTTTGTCAATTAACTAGTTTTCACAAGCCTATCTTATGAGGATTTCATGGTAACGAGGGGTCAATGTTAATTTTCTGATGTCAGTGCACATAGTCTGATCATGTGGGAGAAGGTCCTTGTATCTGAGGATGAGGAAGTACCATGTTGGCAACTTACTTTCCAATACTTTAGGATACCAAAAAACAGTTGCACTGTACTTACAACTTTTCTGTAAGTTTGATATTGTTTCAAATTTTTATGAAATGAATTTGTAAAATCGAAAACCTCAAAAAAAAGTAAGAGATAGCAAGTCTAATTTCCTCAGAAAAGAAAACAATGAGAGTCTAACATATCCCAGCACAAACCCAAGACAAGATCAGTTTCTAAGCAGGGAAACTGATCCTACCTAAATTGGAGGTTTTCTATATTTTACTAGGTGGGAGATACATTTGTTAGCCTAAGAATATCCTGTATAATGAGAAAATACTCATTACATCACTTCTTCGACAATTCAAGATGTTATTCAATCAAGTCCGTCAGAACAAACTGAGACAGAACCAGACACTTTAACCATCTTGGTCAAAATATTTTTAGAGCTTTCTGGCCTTACTTCAGAGAAACTTAATAGCAAAAAGGTTGCATGCTTCTGCCCAAATCTGTTTAGTTGTAGGAGGGAGAGAAGAAAAACTTCTGGCTGAATACATATGGTTACAATACATAAATAAAAGGTTCACTGCATTAATTCATCAAAAGGGGGCAAATTTTTCCTTTTACCTATTTTTTTCTTAGAAAGAAAAAATAACCAATGCTTATTTAATAATAATAATACAAGCCCAAATCAACATCATAACACCTAGTTTTATGAAGTCCTAATTACATGAAAAACACTTCATTTTCAAATAAAACTCATGTTGCTTGCTGTAGGTACTGCCTCTAGCTAAAATATATCCAATGCTCAGTAAAAACTTCCTAATATATTAATGACCAGATGATCTCAGAGTATCTCAGCATCTCTGTTATTCTCAGATACTCCCCAAAATCACAAAGACCGCAGGAGAGAGATCAGAAAGCCAGCAGTTGTCCGAGCTGGATATCATGAATAAGCCCCTGCACGAGCAGTCATGCTTCATAAGAACGTGATTAGGCCCTAAGTATGTAATGATTATGACAGAATTCTCACCTATTTTTACTCCTCCACAAAATATACTTCTTCCTACTTTAATCATGACAGCCACCTAAATAAGATCTACCTATCCATAAAATTAAGAACATTAAATTAATATACAAAAGGATGATGGGGCGCTGTTGTTTGCCTATATCGTCTACTGAATTCAAAGTACTCTTTTCTATTTGCTAATTCACTACAAAGACACGGACATCTTTAAAGCACATCTCTAGATTTCTCAGAGCAGGATTTCTTTTAGCAACTCATTCTGAAATAATCCCATTATATCTAAACAAACTGGAGTCCTTTACAGGCATGGTAAATAATTTTACTATATACAAATAGACTCAAGTGTTTTATAGGAAAAACCGTGCTAGTAAGTGCAAGTGACCTGGATTCTGTTCTAGGTTTATCTCCAACAAGCAAGTCGTTAAACCACAATGGTACTCATCTGTGAAAGGATCTTTGAGCTTCCAACGTTTGATGGGTATATGGCTTTATCAAAAGAGTATTTTGTTTCATTACCAGCATTTGAAGAGGTTTGTTGGTTAGTGATAGGCACCATCAACTGAACACAAGTTTCCTTAGAGGTAAACCAAAGGCCCAGATAGTTTGGAAGACAATAGTAGGACGTTTAGAACCAGGAGATAGAACTGAAGGAAAGTGGGGCCCCAGTTACTACTGTGTAGATCTATGTGCATGAACACGGACATGAACAGTGCACTCCGTGAGAAACTGGCCCTTTGCAAGCTTTCACATACTCCCAGAAATGTAGGTAAATGGTCTCTAATGCAGTGTCCTACCCTTGCACCATTTTCTCTTTCCAGTTTCTAAATTCATGATTTTCACACCTGAAAGTCATAGGCACCTGGTGATAAGTTAAAACTGGTATGAGGAGGTGGTCTTTAAGGGACAATG